CGGATGACGCAAGTGGCTGTACGGTTTCCCAGTGAGCTTCGACACAGTGCGGAAGAGCTTCGCCCTGAAATAAGTGGTATGAAAACTTGGTAACAAAGAAGGTTTTCCTGGCAAGGCCAGATTGAAATAGCAACGATCTCACCCTGGAGACTGCTGCCGATCGCAGTTCGTCAACCTTCTCAGCTAGACTTTGAGTAGAGCACAGGATCGACTGGTGGATTCGTTTCTCAGTGGCTGACGATGAGGGTTGGCTTTGAGCTCCGCTCATATCCAGAGAGCTTCGCTCCACATCCACAATTAGCTGAAGAAATTGGATTATGTAATCCTGCCCTCCATAGACATTACCACTCCCCCAATATTTCTTTCGAGAGTTCAAACTGCAAAGCGATAGCAGATAGCGCGTCAGAATAGCCACCGACTCCAGAGGATATCCCCAGAAGCCCAGTAAAGGGAATAAAGGGGAAAAATCGTTGAAAATCGTTCTGCTCTAACTAACAACCACATCTTAGGGGGTCATGAAACCCTTGCTAAATGAGCGACGCGGAAGAAGAGTCCGGAGTTAATTGTAACAGCGGGGATGCAACTGCTACCAGTTCGGGTGAAATGTTAATGATTGTTGACTGAGCCACTAACCTGTTCCAGTTGACGAATGCATTTATCCATTTCGGCTTGTCCTGGGGCGGCCGCATGAATCGAGCTCACCAATCGTTTGATGGATTCGCTGACCTGAACAAGGAAAATCATCTTGTGATTCCCGAACAATGGCCTTTACTGTAAAATAATGCGGAAGAGGATAGTGGGTGGGGTTGGCGAGAAGGCAGAGACGCAGATGATCGGCGGACGAGTCGCAGCGCGTACTGTGGCGATTTAGCGTCAAGTTAAATAGGGTGTACCACAGCACGTCCCTCATCGCAGTGCGACTCATCCGCGAACTCGTCTGCGCTTCTGCCTTCTCACCACATGATGGTGTCTGGTAACTTGCTGGCGTGAGGATCAAATCTTGGCTCCGATTCTGCCGAATTAAGCAGATGACCTTTACCTTCGATGATCTCACACTTTTCAGTGCTGTGTTGTTACTTTTGTTTGCATGTTTTGGAACATATTCTGGGGAACTGCAAGATTACGGCGAAAACTGTGCACGGACAAGTGGCGCTTTAACCGCGTCAATGGCCTCTGGCTCACCTCTAGGTCAAATCGCCCCCATACCAGTCAAACTTCGATTTGTTTATTTGGCACCTTGTATCTTTGTGAATACAGAAAAGTAATCTTAAGGTCAGATGACCTCATAGCACTTCAATTTCGACTAGTACTCAAATGCATGGCGCATACCATGAATAAAGCCACAAGAGAGAAATGAGTCGATTCGTTTTTTAATTGGGCAGCGTGAGAATTTGGCTGCGAACAGCCCCTTGGTTAGGGCCTAATTCCCAAATACCTTCGATTAAGGGGGTCAAACTCTGAATCTGGTCCTCTCACATTCAGTCAACACCACTTCCGTGGTGAAAATCGCTTGAGGAAACGACAACGGCTCGTCGAGGATTTCTTTCACGCTCTCCACGCTCACTCTCGCCACCCGCGAGCCGTCTGTGCTCTCCGCGCATGCATTCACTCTCGACACTACTCTCGCACAGTAGAGAGCCATGGTCGAGGAAATTCCTCGACCGTTATTCACCCTGCTTCCGTGAGCGAGACTGATTCTTCTAAAGTGGACTAGGAAGCTTTCGTATTGAAATCAGCTGATTCATCCCCGCTCTGAGAACTTAGTGACCCTGGAAGGCCTACGGTAGTCGAAATCGGGAGTAGCCATATGATCGGAAAAATGGTAATTCCGCTCAACACTGATATCCTAATTCCAACAAGAAGCAATAACTAACCTCCTTGCTGTTATCGGCAAGGCGTTGCCATGTTGGCGCATCCATTGGTGCTGACGCTAGTGCTTTTGCAGTACTGGAAAACAGACAACATTAAGTAGATGATTTCTATTTACTGTATTCAAAGTTGTAAAGCTTGAGGCAAAGCTCGAAAAATAGATTGCTCAGAAGAAAAAGCGCAATTGGAAAGATAGTATCGGTTTATAAGATCAGTTCAAGCTAACCTAATCATCTCACAGCTCGAATCCAACATCTGCCTAGTTGCGGTGAGCACAGGGATCTGA